TACGTATTATACACAAGTTCGTTGGACCCCCATACACGATGCAATACAACTCACACGTGCCTCCGACACAGTCTTTGCCTCAGTGGGAGCGTTGTAGAGATCGTCATACATATCATCGCCATATAAGTCATCGCCGTCCATGTTGTAGGTATCCCCAGCCTCATCGTCGTCCATCTGCGTATATAGAGAGAGATAGAATGTACATGTGCTTTAGCTAAGAAGGGTGTGCAAATACGTTAGCTAGTAGGTGAGTATATATGCGTGTTAGGGGTCAGGGTTTAGTGTTAGAGATTGAGTGTGTATGCGTATTACTCAGTATACACGTATATCTGTGTGTCACTTAGTGGGTGTATCCGATTGGTAGTTAGCGAGTACATATGCATGCGCGTCACCTAGTGCATGCTTATGTGTAATGTCGTTTTGTTCGTGCAAACGTATACAGTGAATCGCCCTGGTGGATGTAGCAATATGAGGGCTCAGGTATATGTATGATTGTATTCGGATACTATGGATGATACTAAGAACTCCGTGTGTTGTGTGCGCGGGTGTATATGCATTCAATCAAGTGATCCTATCGATGTTTGTGTGGTCGTGTGTGTGTGATTGGACTGATATGTAGACGCTATTATACACAGTAAACAGGGTATATATCTCACTGTACATGTGACTGTAGCTGCATGGCACATGCCTGTACACTGTTGCGGATAACACTTCAGATCATGACAATATATACTCAAACGGGTGTGGTGGCTTATATGTAAGTATGAATACTCTTATGCTAAAACAAACTAGAAGGCGGATAAAGATGGTCAAACCTAATGTATTGCACTATATTGAGTACCTCGAGAATATGAAATATATACGTAATACCATCACGAAAATATTCCAATGGAGTACATATGCAATCCGTTGAAATACATGCAATTTTGTATATGTGGGATCTAGTATGGATGATATAAGCACCTATATTTTATAAACCATACACAATTAATAAATATAGCCAAGATTCTAAACAAATAGTAGTATATATGTATTATTCATTTAAAAATCTATGTATACAGACATATTATTCATCATATCTATGTTTGAATATATATATATATATGTATATATACATACATATACACATACATATATATACGTATATATATATACACATATATAGATATAGATATATATATATATGAATACAAATACAAATATATACTCATATGTATATATATACATGTTTGTACGA